AGGTAAATGCCTGGGTATGTGGACATGGAGTAGCAGTGTATTTAGATGGTTGCATGTCTGTTTGGGTTCACTGAATGTTACTGCTACACCAGACTGAAGAGCATTTATATTGTAGACTTTATAAAAAACGATGACTGATATTGGTAAAGTCGCAAAAACAAAATCATTTGTTGCTTCCCATGTATTCCTGGTAACTTTGATATATTTGAAAGTCATGCCAAACAAATCTGAGATGAGAAATAAAATGTTTTTTACCTGTATCATGCCAGAATTCAAATTTTTCAGTGAGATTTCCATGTATTACCAAGACGATTTGAAATAAATGGGTCATAGAACAAACTTTTGTTGTCTGACTATTCTGTATAATACATGACACCTTCAACCTGTCGTCCCTAGGTGTAGTTGTAGGTTCCAGATTTAGGTCGCTAAGTACTAACGGCTCTCTTGTTCTCCAGCACCTTTCCAAAATGCTGCCTAGTGGAAGAGCCACTCATGTTTAAAAACTGATTGTAAGTTAAGTAAGGAGTTCTTTACTTTGAATTGTACAGACTCATTTGGCTAGCAGTTTCCCTTAACAGAGTCATACTATCATCTTCTCTTTTGTAACTAAGTAGAGAAACAGTACATTTTTACAAGGAATATTAGTGTGGTTTTGGTATAAAGTAGTGTAAGTCAACTTTCCACTTGGTTACTGAAAATCAGTGTCTTAAGGCGTGCATTTTATGGCATTATAAACAAAGAATTGAAACTGTAATGTTATAATTGTGTAAATGAAATGTAAAACAAAAATATGTGTGTATCACAAACAGATTTGGTCATTATGCCATGAATAATTTATATATGATAACAGGTACATGTGGTTAAGTTCAACCAAATATGGCTAGCACATAGAAATTAAGTCCAAACAAAATATAAGAACCTGTAATGCAAGCATTTCCCTTACTTTGCTTAACATTAAGACAAAGAGTGTTCTCTTTGATGCAAAGTTTGGCTTACTTTAAATTTTCCATGGGCTTAAGTGGTTTTTATTTGTTGGGATTACCAAAGATTTTACTAAATAGCAGTAAAAGGTAAATTACAGCATCTAGGAGGACAGTTAAAACAGGTAGCCTCAGTCAGTAAGAGATGTGGAAGACCTGCTTTCAAGTTAATCCTGACCCACATAAATCCAGAGTTGATTGTTCTGTTGGGGATTAGGTGTCTTTATTGTGAGTTGCCCATATATATATTAAGATATGATGCCAGTATAAAGTGGAAGTAGTATGTTGGATCATAGGGAGTTTTGTATTAATATGTGAACTGAAATGGGGACAGTCTTTAACTCAGTTAAAGAGAAGGATTTGGAAAATATGAAGATCTTCTGAAAAACCTGAAGATCTTGCAGAGATCATTTAAAGAAATCATTTAATGTAAGAAATTGCTAGTGCACTGGCTTCCAAAAGCGCCACACTTTGCAAGGTGCTAAACTCTCAGGAACCTCAAAGCCTTTACTTATCCTTTATATACAAGAAAGAAAAGACAAAAAGGAAAAGTCCTCTCTGGATTGTAAATTTAGTTCTGTTGTAATTCATCTTAAAACAAGAAATACTTTTAAAAAGACATTTAAAGGAGAAAATACAAAAACCAGGTTGCAGAGTGAGCCCCTGTGATTCTTGGTGCAAGTGTTAGTGGGCCTTTAATCATTCTTTAAAGTCGATTTTGGAGTTAGGACTCAGAATAACATAGGCTTGAATTCTCTGTACACAGGCTTATTTCCACCATTTGCTCAGTTAATTTTAGTGGCTGGCTTTGCAGAACATGAGGTGTTTTTGTTTTGTTTTTTCCCCTGGAACCCCCAGAGGATGACGTGGAAACTCTGCATGTAAGCCCATGCCTGCCCACCCCCATCCTAGTCTGTAATTTACTAAGTGGGCTCACCGTGCCCCATAGGAGCCTACTGAGTTTTACTTGTTATTCTTGTAAATTTGATTAATAGTATATGTAATTTTCACTGGATTATGCTTTTTAATAAAAATGTTGGGCAGTCAGGTTGGATAAATGAGGGAGTTGGTGAAATGAGCGTCAAGGAAGGAAGCCTCAAGGCTTGCTTGGCTCTGAATACCGTGACATTCTAGTTTGCTATTCCAGATGAGGCAATATTATTTCATGGAGATTTAATTTGCAGAATTGTGAAAGTTACTAATATATAAATGTTCATAAAAAAGTAGACACCTCCCGGCCTCCCCTCAGGCTCTGTGTTGTTACTTTGTGGCCCTCTGGTAGCCTGTTTCTCTTGTGCTCAGCCAAGCTGGGGGAAAGTTTTTACCCATTTGCCTACTGCCTTCCCTCCACCCCCAATAAAATTTCAAATTTAGCCCATCACTGTGCCTGTTTATTTGTTTAATGTATACCTGTTTTTCTGACACTAAACACCATTGCCCACGGAGATGAAGGCACCCTTTGCAGAAAATACGCTAAGATTGTGCTCAGCAGAAGGAAAGTAATGACAGTATTTTATATTTTAAAATATATTTTAATTAGTCCTCAGTGTAAGATCACCCACTAAAATTCAGTGAATATCACATCTAGTGACATTCAGTAGTACAGAGTGAATGTTTGAAGCCAGTTTTATGAACCTCAGTTTCTATGTTTACTTTTGGGGGAACTGATAATTGACAGTTCTTCTGCTAACTTGTGTACTTCGTTGAAAGTGTCAATAAAGACAGGAAAAATGTGGTAGCATATTTGGGTGGATATAAAATGAGATATGTTTTAAGATCAGAGGACAGTTTATTTGGGTACGAAGTGGAGGACTACTCTTTACAATTTCTGTTGACAAAGTGAACTAATTTTTATTTTCATTTTTGAGACATAATAGGTTCCATTAGGACTTTTTTTTTTTTAAAGATTTATTTATTTGTGCATACAGAACTGGGGTACAGGCCAGAGGCTCAGGGGCAGCAAGAGGCTTCACCAGAGACAGAGTGGGGAACAGAACAGGCAGATCGACGAAACAGCGGGCGGGCCAGGAGAGGTCTGCCGCGCCATGTGGTCACCTCCGGGGCAGGCGGGAATCGAACTCATGCGGAAGTGGCTTTAGATTCTCAGTGCTGTGCTTTAACCCGCTGCGCCACCAGGGAGGGCCACATTAGGACTTTTTAATGATTGACAGCTTGAACACCATAAAGTTGTCTAACTGATAAAATTTTCTTTTAATATTATAATTGTAATCAAGGAGATATAGCAAGTAATGTTTTTAGTTTTGTAGTGAAACGGAGCAGAATTTATGATTGAATTAGAAAATTAATCTATAGTCAGTGATGAAAGCAACTTATGTAGAGAGCCTGAATGACAGCTTATAAGTAAATATTAAGTTTTATATTCTGAAGACAAAATGTACTTTCTTATAACTATGGAATGATTTGAAAATTTATTCAGTCTCATTTGTTGGGGTGGGGGGAAGAATTCTCAGATTTGTTAGTAAAACTAAAACAAGTAATTCCTAGTAATGAAATCTTTTAAATTTACTGGTTAAGACAAACAGTTGGTGTGCAGTGGAAGACTCAGGGAAATAAAAACTAGATGGCAGTGTATAAAAACAAGGAGAAAGCATGACACCTTCATATAGCTATACAATCTTTATTGCTTAAATGCAGATTAAGACTCTTTGAAGACTAACCTAGTGTTAAGTCATTTTGTTTTGTGGAAAACACTGTCCTACGGTATAGAACCTTAAAAATGAAACTGCTTTTTATTGCAAATCCAAGAAATGCTTTCATTGAGAAGCTGATTTCTTTTTTCAAAGTATTAAATTCTTTTGGGAAAATGGAAGGACATTAAATCTACTGAACCAAGAAACTTTAGGTCATCTTGTTGAAGAGATAGTGGAACTTTGTATATGTCAAGAACTTTGTATATGTCAAAAACTTTGTATATGTTTGGCCTCCTTCCAGATTCACTTAGCATATAATCACATCCTTAACAGCTTCAATGAGAATTGCCCTGTGAGGTCTGTAACTGTGCTCAGAGATGGTATTGGAGTAAAAACATTGTAACAAAGTAAGGTACTTTGTTCTTAATGAAGCTTTGTTTGTAGAATATGCTCTTTCATGTTATTTATGTGAAGAATGGTTACTACCTGGGAATTAGATAAAGGGCTTACATTGCTACCTCACCTGTGTAAAACCAACCAGATTTTTCTAAGTAATATATTGATGCTTGCTTGCTTTTTACTGCCTACATAAATCTTGTGTAGCCATTGCCAATTTTTTTTTTTAAAATAAGTCTACTGAATACTGTTTCTTCATGCTCCCCAATCTTGCTCTTAGAACAGTGCTGGCGTCAAGATTTAATTTAGTATAAATACAACCCACTCTTGTATCCCTAATGGAGTGATTGAATATTTTCACAATATTTTGTGGTAAATTCTTTATCTCCCTCTAGGACTTAATTTTTGATCTACCTTGGTTGATTAGTGTTTTAAATTTATAGCAAATACTACTGTATTGACTTCATGTACATTTATTATTTAGTGCTTTTAATTTTTTTTTCTTTTTGGTAAAATCAGCATGGGAACTGATTTCATTTGTCTGTACCTACTGTACCAACCTGAATTACAGTGTTCAAATCAGTTTTATAGTAGGAATCACAATTTGCCCTTTTAAGGTGGTCATATTGTCTGTTAAAAGTAGTCTGGATTTGCTCCTTGCAAAAATGTATTTGAATGTCTGCAATAAAATTGCTACAAAATTATTGCTTATTGTAACCATATATGGCTAATGCAGTGTTGCTGTGGTAATTGAAAAAAAACTAACTCTTGGGTATTGGGGGTATTGCTTCTAAGAGGGAATTTCTTTTGCCAGATTATTTGAAATAACAATTAGAGAAGTATTTGGGAAAGGGGTATGGTTAACAATGAAGAATTGGGAAGTTTTTTTGTTTTTAAATGAAAATATTTCACTTTCAGCATTGTACTTGCATCTCTTTCCTGATAGATTTCTGTTTTGATTTTCTGCTGACAGGTCACATTTAGGGCAGGCAAAACATAAGGGATATAGCCCTCCTGAGAGTAGAAAATCTAATTCTAAGGCACCCAAAGTACAGTCTAATACTACTTCTGAACTGTCAAGGGGACACCTTTCTAAAAGGTAAATCTTCACATTGCTTATACATTTTCAAGACACAATTATTTACATTTGAATCATTGGATAATATTGAAACTTATAGGTTATTCTAAAATGTTAATGTACATGTTTTCATTCCTGAGTGTAACTATGACTATCAGTAGTTTATCACCTTTGCAGTAATGTCAGTGTAACAGCCTAGACAGTAATTGTTTCTCCTTGTATAAAGAGCTGTGACGTTCCTCCTTTGCTTAGTAAACCATTAGAGGCATCGGCAGTCACCGTCGCACCATTTTCCCCTAGCTTTTTTCTTGTCAGGTCTATTAGCCAATAATATCTAAACATCTATCTAACTGATTAGAGGCTTTGGAAAGGAATATAATTCCTACTACAATATGAAAATGCCTAGCCTTCATTTTTAAAGTGTATGTGGTGATTATTTTAAGCTTAGACAGCACCGTGTTTGTGAATGGAGGCCTCAGTATTCTAGTTGCAATTGATTCTCAATCACTAAGCATTGTTTTTCTTACAAGCTTAACTCTGGTTTCAGAATGTTTGGTGTGAGTAGTCTTGGGCTAAAGAATTACACTGACTTTGAGTAGTTTACCATCTAAAGTCATACCTGCTATTATCTTTTTTTAAGTGCTTTTGCAGTTTTAAACTATTTGACAAGTTAGGTTTATTGAGTACTGTACTTAACATGCAAATGTGTGCTTTTTTTGTAAGCACTGATTTCCAAATATGTGAGAAATCAATGAGGTTTAGGCACAGGCATAATGATGGTAGGCTGCTGCTAACTCTCTTCCTTCTCTGACCTCCTAGAAGCTGCAGTTCATCATCTGCTGGCATAGTTCCACAACCAGAGGATCCAGACAGAGCCAATACTTCAGAAAGGCAGAAACCGGGCCAGGTGCCTAAGAAAGACAATTCTCGAGGAGTGAAGCGCAGTGCTAGTCCAGATTACGACAGGACCAATTCTCCTAGCTCTGCTAAAAAACCAAAAGCACTTCAGCATACTGAATCGCCCTCAGAAACGAACAAGCCACATAGTAAGTCAAAGAAGAGACATTTAGACCAGGAGCAACAACTGAAATCTACACAATTGCCATCAACGAGCAAGGCTCACACCAGGAAGAGTGGGGCCACCGGTAGTTCACGGAGTCAGAAAAGAAAGAGGACAGAGAGTTCTTGTCTAAAGAGTGGTTCTGTGCCCGAATCAGCTGGTGCCGAAGAGAGAGCTGCAAAACCCACCAAGCTGGCTTCAAAATCAGCCGCCTCAGCCAAAGCTGGGTGTAGCACCATCACCGACTCTTCTTCTGCTGCCTCTGCTTCCTCTTCGTCTTCTGCTGTCGCCTCGGCCTCCTCTACTGTCCCACCAGGTGCCAGAGTGAAACAAGGAAAAGACCAGAGCAAGGCCAGGCGTTCCCGTTCAGCATCCAGCCCCAGCCCCAGAAGAAGCAGCCGGGAGAAGGAACAGAGTAAAACTGGTGGCTCCTCGAAATTTGATTGGGCTGCTCGTTTCAGCCCTAAAGTTAGCCTTCCTAAAACAAAACTGTCTCTTCCAGGGTCTTCTAAGTCAGAGACATCCAAACCTGGACCTTCTGGATTACAGGCCAAATTAGCAAGTAAGTTTACCGATTTTTTTCAACAATTTAAAGAAAGTAACTCTCGGTCTTTCGAAAGCAACTGTTTTCAAGGTAGTCAGAGTTTTGTCCCCTTCTTTTCTTTTTCAGTCTGGCTCATTCTTAGATTTATTGCTGCCATTTATCTGTACATATTCATGTATAGTTGCTATCACAGTTAGTTTCGTGGGGACAGAGAATCTGCCTTTTTTTTCATAATTACATAGTGATGACTTAGTGTGTCTTACCCTGGTAACACTTGCTGCCTGCCTGCCTTTCTAATATCCAGACAGGATGTCAATTTGGATTTTCTTCTCACCAGGTAGCAGAATTATTCAAGTCATGAGTGGCTACTGACTTTGGTCAGAGATCAAGTGTTCTTTTCTTTTTTTTTTTGGTATCCTATATTTATTCAGTGGCAACAACTGAGCTGTTACTAGAATACATGGACTCCTGTATAAATTAAATTAAATTAAATCTTACTCACATGTCATTTGTGTTTTTAAAAGGAACTTACTGTAAAGGTGGCTACTGCTTAGGTTTCACACAATGAGCTCCAAGTCTCAGGTAAATGGGTAGGTGTATGGAAGCTTTTGAGGTTTACAATGGAGTTGAAAGAACGGATATGTGGCACTAATACATTCAGCAAAGAAACCAGCTGGATGGGAAAACGGTCTGTCTTGTACTTTTTTCCATGTCCTTTTTCCCCAAAGACTCTGAGAAGCTCACTATTCATCTTACTAGAACTGGTGATGACCCTGGTCAATTATGTGATTGTTGCAATGCTGAAGTGTTTCTTTTCTTCTATTTTAAGATACTAAAAGACAATAAGATAACACTTACGAATTTTGAAGTATTTAGTTTTTGTAGTATTTCATCAGGAAACTTGTTTGGACCATTTCGTTACCTTTTGGGTCCTTATAGAAAATTTCACAAGATATTTTGATAGAATTAGAACTTTTTCATGGTTAATGGAAGATTATATGTAGTATCTACTAGTATCTTTGTCAAAGCTCTGCTAATATTGAATCAGCCTAACCTAATTTTGAATAATGACTTCCAGTTTATTCAGTATCTGCTAAAATTTGACCAGAGTCCTATTATACACTAAATAAAATCTTATACCTAACCTGAAAAACAGACACTACATGAAGATTAAGATTTCTATATTTGAAGTCAAGAAGAAATTCCAGGCTAAAGGGGGTAGCTAACAGTTTATTGGTCCTACCAAGGATTTCTTAACAGTTGGCGTTATTTCTGTTATCTTTTATACCTCCTCTCTCTGCGTTTAAGTGAAGCGGAAATGTGTCGGTGTGTCTATAAGATGGGGTAGCTGTATGATCTCTATGACCTGTGGGCCAGGTTATGTCTGCAAGAGGTTGTGTGAAATAAACTGTCTCTTTCTGCTTCCTGGTCTGCTTCAGTTGAAGAACTCATGTTCTCCAAATCATAGTTGGGTCAGGTGAGAGCAGTGTCCTTGAATGTTTTATCCATGACTCTTCTCAGATGCCAGCTTTCTTACAAGGTCTGTTAACTATGATCTCTAACTGAAAAACTGCCCGTCTGTGGGGTTTCACGGTGACAAGGCTGTCTTCACCCAGGAAGTATTGAGCCTCCTGCTCTCAGCCCTCCTAACCCCAGCCCTGTGCCAGAGTCAACCATTCCATACATTCTGCCAAGTCACTCTGCCCGTGGTCAACTGAATTAGTTTAAAACTCAGTCCATACGCATTTTTCTTCCTTTCACAAAAATCAAAGTTTTTCATTGGTCACGGAATATCACTTCCATTTTCATGGCCCCTGTCCTAGTTCTAAGCTCTAATTATAGCCTAGCTCTTGGACTAGAAGAGGGAAGCCATCATTCACTTAGCATCTAATCAGAGCTGTATGTTTTACCATGGCAATTATTTAATTAAAAAATAAATAAATAAATAAAAGGTGCTCTGCAGTAGTTATTGAAGGAATTTCTTTCAAGGAGGTGACATAACTTGCCTTAGTGACACATTTCATAAATGCAAGCATTAGGGCTTGCATCGGTCACGTGTGTGATTCTGTGGTGTTGCTTTGCTTTTCTCTAACCATGTTCTCTGTTTTTATTGTCACAGCAATTTTCCAGGGATCCATATTACTCATTACATGTTTGCTTCTTTACTAATCAGTATAAAACTTTGTAAAACAATAGCAGGAATTTAAACATACTTGACATAGGTCATCCTATATACTCCTCATTAGCTCTGTGTGGAAGCTGCTGTTTCTGTCGGACAGGTAAGGAAGTTCAAGATCAGGGTCCTGTTCAAAAGCCATACAACAAAGAAGTGAAAGGGCCAAGAGTCAAGCATAAGGCTTCTGTTGGCAGAAGTCACTCTCCTGTAGCATTGAACAGAAAGGGGCCGAGTCTAGTCGGACTCCTGAAGCTTAAGGGCAGGGTGCATCTGGGTGCGGTCACACGTGCCACGCAGCAAAGGTTGATGCGCAGAGCAATCTTGGAAAGAAGAGCAGTGCTGTATTATGTAAGAATAGAGGGGCAAATGAACTATCTTTGGGGGACTGTCTGGGTCTAATGGGCGGGAATTTGGGGGAGAGAGCTATTAATACAAGAGCTGAGATTTCTGAATCTGAATACTAGTTCTGCTGATGACTGGGAAAAGTTTACAAGCCTCTTTGTAAAATGAACATAGCAGCTCTCTGGGAAAAATGAATATGTGAGGAGACTTAGCATAATACTTAGTACATATTTAGGGTCTACAGCTGAAGTGGAGCATCTTAAGACAGAAAGCTTACTCAGCATTTTCCTAGCTGTTGAACTCAGTGCAAGATTTCACTCTGGCTTAAAGTTCTCTTCTCTCCGATAACTTTGTGAGGTCAGACAACTTAACTGACTTCTACATAGCAGCCTAATCCCCAATCTTATTTATAAACTGATACTTATCTTCAGAAGTAGAAATGAAATAGTGCATGTGAAAAATTAAATAACGTTAAGCTGATTAAATACCATATAATGGTGAAATGTCAGTTGCCATAGTTCTCAATGGCATATGTCTCAGGAGTGTTGTTTTTTTTTTTTTTTAACTGGGGCAGATTTAGATTTAATGGATAGAAGATGACATGTGGATTTCTCATAAGTTTAGCTCAGGGGGAGAAATCAGTTAATTCTATAAAAATGGAGTAAACAGTTTGAGATACAAAGCGTTACAAGTTTAGATAGGTTACTAATTTTCTTCACATTTAAGAATGAGTGTGAACATGTTATTTAGTTAAAGACCCTTGCTAAGATATGATTGGTGAAAAAGTTTCATAGTAAGCCTTCACCCCACCCCACCTTTTTTTTTTTTAAGTAAAGAAGTAACAGTACTTTCGAACTGTATGAAAACTCCAGGTAGATATTATGCAGAGATTCTGGGTAATTGTTAACATACCATAGACATCAGGAGAAACCATGCAATAACTTGCTAACCCTAGTATTTCAACCTGATATTTTGCTGATTGGTTTGTTTGTTTTTGGATTGCCCATTGTACCTTTGGGAGACTAGTATTTGGGTGGAACTCACTTTGGGAAATGATATTATATGTTAGTCAGGCCACTTAAAATGAAGATGTTCCCAGAGTGTTGTTTTGTTGGCTGTTGACTGATGGACAAGCGCCTGGTGAGGAAATAGCGTTGGCAGGAGAGCTAGTGAAAGAGTTACTTTTGTGATGAGACTTCCGAAGCCTTGTGTCTTGCCAGCTGCAGCTGATCAAAATAGCTTGGGGACAAAGGTCCATCTTGTGTCATTTAGTGGAGTTCTTGAAAATAGCCCACGTAGAGCTACGTGACTTTTTTCAGTGTACATCAGGAAGTTTTCTTCTTAGTTGCTTAAGCAAGCAGACATTCCTGTGAACATTCATGTGGTATAAATGAAGCCAGTGAGGCAGTGTAGTGACCTAAGATTTTCAAAATGTTTTTATATCCTAGCATAATGTTAAATGTTTATGATTAGTTTCACTTCAAATGAAACCTTTTACTAACCTACCTTTTTGAAATAAGCTCATTTCGATATAAAATGTGGCTGTGTCGAGGTTAGCTGTCTGAATAGCAGGTGATGGATAGCATAGTAGCAAGTTTATGATCAAAACCTGGGTTATTCCGGAGCTTATCTGTCGGAAAATTTGAAGGTACTACCTTTCCAGTGTGATGTGTCTGTCTGTAGATCTGGTTTCCTCTTATTTTTTTGAAGTGGGCATCACGTGCACATTCCTAGCAGGGGGGGAGTAGTTGTTACCCGCTTCTTCCAAGCCTGAGTTTCATCCTTTCTGCTGACCTGCATGCAGCCTGTGACCATCATATAGAACTAGACAAGAGCCAGGAGGATGCCACCTTTTTGGGAAGGGAGATTCTTCTTAGATTGAGACTCTTTCTGTCACAACATAATGCTTTGCACCTCTTGCATGGAGGGAGGAAATAGAATAAACAGAGCAGAAAATGATTATAAGGTGGAGAATCCTGGTTTCATGGTTGGGTCTTGCTAGGATGATAGAATCAGCCCTACTGAGTTTCAAAAATAGGATTCTTTTAGCCTCATGTGGTGGCTGGGTGAGCAGCATTAAGGGGTGAGGATTGAGAGTCGAGTTTTGTGTATTATCCTTAAGGCATCTGTAATCTTACAACCTAAAAATTTTAATATGTAACCATTTTGAAAAATTTCCAAATGATTCCTAAGATTAAATGGAAACAGGTATCACTGGCATCTTTGTTAGAAGGCTTTGCTTTGTTTTATTTCCTTCGTGGATTTTAGACAATATGGTATGTGAACGTTTGTATACCAGGTCAGAACAAAAGTTATCCTGAGTGCATCATTCTGAAGTTAGCAAAAATTGCTTTTTCATATTCATGTCTGTATCCTTTAATCTATGGACACTTCTGATTCTAACATGTTTGTCATTAAAAATAACAGAAGACATCCAGAAAATACCAACGTACAAAAAGAAAACCTATAAATTCACTTAATTCTGTCACTGAGGATGATC